GGCCCGGGCCGTGCGTGGCCGGCGCCGTTCGGAGTGGGGACGCGGCTCTCCGGGCCCGCGGCGTTTGCTGGTGACTGAGGGAGAAGCCTGGGCGCGCGGAGGCCCCGTCCTGCCCGGGTTCGGCCGTGGGTCGTGTTACCCCCCACACACACACACGCAGACACACCACCGCACGTGGGATGGGCCGTGCGTCCCCTGCATAGCGAGTTTGTGGATGTTTTTATTATCACGCATCTCCCGCTGCCAGCGTCATGTTTTAAAATCTCAGCAGTTTTTCAGTTGTGTAATGGAAAACCTAAGAAAGCCCTAAACAAAACCGAACCGCTTTGGCCCGACACCCGAGGAGCGGGGGTCCTCGGGGCGCCCCCTGGCGGCGGTGCCGCCCGCGGGACGCGAGGGCGCAGCGCCCTCCCCCCTGCTTCTAGGGGAAAGGGAAGGATGAAAATCAACTGATCACTGTTTGTTTCTGCTAGCGACAGGCAGGAAGCCCTCGGATTCTTCCCTGCTCGCAGCGGCGGAGCCGCGGCTCGCAGTGCGCTCCGCAGGTAGCGCCCGGTGAGGCGGCAGCGGCGCTTGGCGCGGCCCGGCCCCTCGGCCCGCGCCTCTGCGCCGGGGCTCGCCGCCATCGCACCCTGCTGCCCTGAGCCGAGCCGGAGCCATGAAGAAAAAAAAGCTCAAGGAGCTAGAGAGCTGCCTGCAGGAAGTCGATGCTTTCGAAAGGCCCAAGCTGCTCCTGGAGCAGTACCCGACAAGGCCTCATATCGCAGGTAGGGCGGGCGCCGGCTGTGCTGCGCTTCACCTAGTGCCCCTCCTGGGTCAGCGCGGCTCAAAACGCGTGTTTACGTGTTTCTTTCTACTGTGCTGCTTCGTTTGTAGTTGTTATACTATAAAAGCGCTGAGAAATTGTATCCAGCGGGAGTGTATTTCATTTTATGAATTGTTACCCCTTTTCATTAAAAGTGTACTGTTAATAAGAAACACAAAACCAAGTGAGTCGATTTCAAAGATGTCTTGCGATAAAAACATCTTGTTGATCTAAAAAATGAGAAAGCTAAACTTTTTTCTTTAATGTGGCCTGAAATAACAAAGTGGTGAATGTACCTCTTCTATACCTTAATTCTGTTTTTTCTGATTTTCTACATCTTACAGAACAGGGTTTCTAAGGGTGTGCTTGTTGCTTTTATAAACAGAACTCGAGGCATGGTCATTCCATGAAATCAGTATTCGCAGCTCTATAAAATATCCCTCAAAAAGCTAGAGTCTTTCAAAAATACTTCTATGTGTTTTAAGTTTAAGGGATAAGCACAGGCAGGGAGAACATCACCTAAATATAGTGTGACTGAGTTTTCTGAATGAAGAAGTGACTTTTATTGACTAATACGTGCTCATTAGATTTACTGATTTTTTTTTCCTAGCATGTATGCTTAATACAATTCACAATACTTTTGATGATATTGAAAACAAAACAGTTGCAGACTTGGGATGTGGCTGTGGCATGCTTAGCATCGGAAGTGCTATGTTAGGAGCAGGGTAAGTAAATGGGTCATTTTTAGTATAGAAAGGGGTAGAAAATAAAATTATAGCATAGCAATACTCACTAAACTTATTCTGGGTATCTAATTTGACACACAACAAGCCTGTTTAGTATGTATAGATAGTCAATAACCAGTCAATTAGTGGGAGAGGGGGACAGTTGCCCTGAATTTGGATGTCATGAGATTTGGTTTCTCTGAAGCACTATATTAACACATGAAATTTCTTTCACAAAACTTGAAACGGATGTTGGGAAAAGGCAGCAGTGCTGCTCATATTTTCAGCAGCACTGAATTTCTATAATACATGCCTAATGTATTTCCCTTAGAAAATGTTGTGCACACATACAGCTCTCAAAAAGACTGCATTTCAAACATTTTGAAAATGAACACATTCTTTTATGAAAACTTTTTTTTTTTTTTAACAGATTATGTGTGGGGTTTGACATAGATGCAGATGCACTGGAAATATTTAACAGAAACGTTGAAGAATTTGAGCTCACAAACATCAACATGGTTCAGTGTGATGTTTGCTGTTTGTCAGAGACCATGTCAGAAACTTTTGACACAGTTATTATGAACCCTCCTTTTGGAACCAAACACAATAAAGGTTGGTAATTATAAAAAATTCATAATCAAATTATTTTTCTTTTAGTAAAAATAATTAGGAAAGCTGCAGAAATATTTTCCATGCCTTAATGTGTGCACTGCTGTTTCTCAGCTGTCTAAGATAAGCATAACAATAGCGAAGTACTTCAAAAAATAGGTTATTTTGCAAAAGACAGCAACAGTGAAGTATAAAGTGGATCTTTAAACAGATACTAGTTTAAGCTTGCATTTATCAATTCTACTAATTTGAATGCTCTTTTAGGGATGGATATGATTTTTCTGAAAACAGCTTTGCAAATGGCAAGAACAGCTGTATATTCCCTTCACAAAACATCAACCCGGCAAGTAAGTTCTTAATTTCAGTGGAGTGGGGATGTTAACCAATTACATAGCCCATACCTTCATTAATCTGTTTAGGTCTTTAGTGGGTCTGAAATTTGCTTTCATTAAACACTAACCATGTCAGAAATATTCAGTGATGCAAATAAGACCACAGGAAGACAATACAATGTTGGAAACGTGGAAAAGTTATAGGGGCTTCTTAAAGCAGAAAGAGTACAGATATTATAAAAATGTATGTAAACTAGCTTTTAAGCGTTAACTGCATCTGTTTAATACCCTAGCACATCCAAAAGAAAGCAGATGAATGGAAAGTGAAGATGGAAGTTATAGCAGGTAAGATTTTTTTTAAAGAGAAAACATATGCTTAATGACTAATCTCTGGGCCATACTACTGGCCAGACACCCAGAGGTAACTTCTGTGGTTTAAAATAAAAAATGAAGGAAGGTATTTTCTTTCAAGCCTTACACCCTGCTAGTATAGAGAAAGCAAGCATTCTAAAAAAAAGGTGTGTGCATGTGTGTATACATACATATATATATATATATATATAAAAGAGTAAAAGCAGTTGGTTTTTTTTCCTGTCATGCTTTGAAAAAGACCAGATGTGGCTTTTGAGCAGAAGTTAACATGCTGCTTCAAAAAGGGTATGTTGTTGAATAACAAAGCCAGAGCACAGGTGCGTTCTCAAACTTAAAAAGAATCCTGTACTTACAGTAACTTAGGTACTACCTTCTAATAACTGATCAAGATTCTTCCTTATTTTCAAAGAGCATGAGATAGATGCTTTATACAGTCTCACACCTAAGACACAAAAGCTGCACAGGTACTTGAGACACTCCTGCATGTCTGTATCTCATCTCACTTACCATGTGTACTTGGTTTAAGTGTTGAGGCAGCCTAGTCCAGAAGTCAAAGCAATTATCCAGCCACAACTGCCTGAGCCTGGCCCTAGAAAGCTTAGAAGAACAAGGGTGTGGGTTGTAAGCTCCCAATTAATCATTCTAATACAGTAGTATTCTTTGCACTGTTCACAGAACTTAAATATGACCTACCAGCATCATACAAGTTTCATAAGAAGAAATCTGTAAGTATAAAAACCAACATGGCTGAGAAAAAGTGTCATCTTGTAATAGGCAGGTGCATGAACTCTACTGAACAAGGAAGTTTTAGAGCAGATGTACTGGGCAGCAATACATTTGAGGTGTTGAAGCATTGAGTTTTGTTGTCATTCATACACTGAGTAGTTGGGCTGGCTGAGGAATAAGTCATTTTAATGCACAGCTTTGCAAGGGTTGTTTGCCAAACCTGATGAAAGCCACCACTGTGCCCACTCTAAAGAAAGCTTAGAAGTGGGGCTCTTGATTCTCCAGTTAATAGAGATCTGCTTAATCCTGGAGGAGCTTAATCAACACTAAATAAAGTCTTGAAAAGAGCTAGGATTTTATAGCAACAGGACAACTTCAACATTGTGCATAGCAGAATAGAGGTAGCTGCAGTCTCCGAGGGGCAGCAGGAAGCTGTGCACTTACAGTGTAGGAGTGGAAAGACATTGCAGGGTGGTGGTGGGGTTAGAACAACAAACAGTTACCTAACAGACTGGTCAAGAGCTGAAGGCCTAATTGGGCACCTTCACATGGCCTGGGCCAAAGGGCATTATTCACCTCTGCTCCATTTCTTTGCGATATGAACTTGCAGGGGAAGCCTGTCCTTCAGCTTTGCTACCTAGCAGTCACAGCTTTATATTACACAAAGAGTGAAGCTTTAGAGGTGAACCGTTTAAGTTCTGCATTTATTGACAGCAGCTAGTGAATATAACTGAGATTACAAAGGCTATTCAAGGATGGAACCTTTTACACTTGAATGAGGTACCAGAGAAGTCGAGAGGACTGACAGTATAAACAAGACTATAAATATAAAAAACTTTTCCAGAGTGGCATGTTAGAGTAAGCATGCTTCTTAAACAAAAACAAAACTAATTAACAAAATAAAGCTTTCCTCTCATTGTAGGTTGACATTGAAGTGGATTTCATTAGATTTTCTGTTGACAAACTCTTGAACCAAGGCATGGCTTTAAAACCTATTTAAAATGGACTAATAAAAACAATGATTTTTATTTTAGTATTACTGGTCTCCGCCTCCATTTTCTGTTTTCAGCTGTTTCGGTGCAGGTTCTTCTTTCTCAATTTCCTCAAGTGGTCTCTTCTTTGGACTTGCTGGTTCTGCAAGATTGAATGCATTCATTATTTATCATAAAGGGAAGCTTTCACTATTACCTTAAGTCTTCCAAAAAGTAAACTTTCTGAAATACTGACACAGTGATCTTATGTAGCCCAAGAATGGGTTCTAGTTTATCCACAGCTGTTGCTATGCTAGAGGATTAGTCATTATTACAAATTCAAGCTTTTAAGTGTTCCAAAATAGCTACTCAGAACAGTTTATTTACTTCATGGAAGAGAGATAGGAAAGTTAGATAAAGGAGTGCCATCTAACAGCAGTAAGTTTGAGGACCACTGAGTTCTGTAAGTAGGCACTACATCTACTGAACAGAAGCCCAGTTCTGGCATCTTTAAAGCCAAAATACCACTGTCCAGAATCATCAGTCTTCTCCTATCAATAATAAAGGCATTATTGAAGAGGCACTAAGTTGCACTGCTGTGTATCACAGCTGACAGCTAGCTACAATCTTAAAATACCTGCAACAGTCCTATAACAGAACCACAATTATCAAGTAATTAACATGATTTTTGGGGAGAGTTTCAGCTTTGATTCCTTCCAAAAGCTGAAGGCCCTTGAAGTTCCCTTACCAATACTGACAGAGAAGAGAAACATTGGCAGCCTTGAAACATTTGCAAGAAACAGATGAGATGGGCCAGTATAGTACCACATAAAGATGATGCATCCAATGCACAAAATGACTTACCTGTTTTAGTATCTTCACCTTCATCATCGTTCTCAAACTTTGTTTTCTTGCCCTGAAACTGTACTTTCCCTTTATGTGCCCCTTGAGGTGTCTTCCCGCCTCTTCCTTTTCCTTTAAGTTTCCGACCTGTTAGGACAGGAGATGTCATTCACTCCCTGTGTGGCAGGTTTAAACCAAGCTTTGCAGTCAGTCATTATTAGACATTGCTGTTAATTATCACACAGTAAAACTAGTATGAGGCTAAATGTTTAAACCAATAAAAGCACCTTTTGTTTTCTGTTTTAGCAATTCTTGCTGGTCTTCCAATATTTTTTTTAAAGCTTCTTTCTCTGCATCTCCTTCTAGCACTTCCCATGTAACATCCTTGTTCCGAAGCTGTAAGTTCCCATTATGTGCTTCTTTCGCTTTGTCCAGAGCTTCTTTTGCACTATCCTTAAACAGGATAATACCCTTAAAAAGAAAAGGGTCATTGGCATTTGAGTCTAATTGCAAGAATATCCAGCTAGAATGATGGACAACATATCCCATTGGGTACCCCAGACATTCATTACTCTGGCAAGCAGCTCCTTACTTTGTCTGGGCCCTTGAAAGAATTTGAGTAAGTACATTCACACTAACTATTGGACAGTTCTACAATTCAAATAAAGAATAAACTCCTTACATTATCATGTAAGAGCACAAGCATTTAATCACTCAGTTTCAAAATATAATACAACATCTTAGCTCCTTGTCTAAGGATCTACTGACCTCCTTTGCACCTCTGACAAAGTGTATCCATCTGATTTCTCCATGATTAGAAAACACTGCATGGATATCTTCTCTGCATGTTTGATCATCAAGATCACCAAAAAACTTCAGGAGACATCCTGTCTTTTCTTCCAAAGACTTCTAAATAAGAGGGTTTTTTAAAAACAAAACAAAAAAAAACAAACAAAAAAACACTAAAGAGTCACATTTGAGTATTCATTACCCCCCACCCCTCAACTGTAAAGCTATTAGATCATTTTAGTGACAAATAAGCAACTGAAGTAGATACTTGGCTCACTGACAGTGCTAGAGGTATTCTTACTGCACAGTTTATTCATGTTCACATGAAACATCTACATGTTTTTCTTCTCTTAATTTTATTCTGAAACATTTTGTGGATCTTAGCATTTGTCTCCCTATGATAGTTACACTCTTGCAATTTTACCAAACAGCTTTTCAAAGGCTGACAACTCAAGCTAAAGCCCACATAGTTAATCCTTTCTGGACCTTACAAATGCTACAGATGCATTGAGGATCACTTCTGAGCAAGTAGTACAGCTAGAAATTAAATTCCAGACAAAAGTATTTTCTTGAAAATAAAATGCAACCATGACAAATGAAGTCCTACTGCAAATCAGTTGTAAAACCTGAAGTGACTTTGTAGAGAAAATGCTCTGATCTACAATCTGACCACTGGTCTACAAATACAGCCACAACAGCACGTTTGTATTAACTACTTGTGGACTGAACATCATGAAGGATTAATTGGACAGTTTTCAGGTGTAGAGATTCTGGAAATCCATACCATTTCTGCATCTGCTGCTTGTTTCTGTTTTTCTTCTTTTTCCCTGTAGAAAGTTTAATATCAGTTCAGTGATATCAGCTGTGGCCAAATGATAAATTCACACACTTCTATTGATAATTACTTACTGTTTTGCTCTCGCTTTAGCCTCTACTTTGTTTTGTTTCCTTTCTTCATTCTTCTTTGTACAATACTCCTCCCTTCAATAGAATAGAAAGTTAAATGCTACCTATTACAGTATTCCAATTACTTCAGGAGACTGCAATAGCTAAGAAACAGTTGAGACTGTCTTTGGAAGCCATGACACCAGTCCCAAAGGCGCAATTGTGGGTAACTGTACAAGAGTGTAGAATCTCACACTCAGCAGGTCAAGCCAGGTTCTCCTCCAAATCCACACCTGAGCATTACAGTTCCTGCCTGCTTCAGTGAAGGGAACTTACTTGAAAAGCACGATCAGTTCTGTGTCCTTGTACTTCTGGTTTGGGATCTCCGTGAACTTCCTAGCAGATTCAACACTATCAAAAACTGCAAATATTGATCCCTGTTAAGTGATCAGAGACATTAAGTATTAGAATAACTGAATACTGGATGTTCTCCAGGAGAAGCTGCTACCCCACATCTAACTGTTCATCACAAGAGCTACCTTAAATGTTTTCTGCAGCGTTCTTCTCATTTGAATGTTTTCAACTGGACCTTTATCCTCAAGCCATTCTTTGATATCATCAAGAGTTGCATCTAGTGGAAAGCCTTTCTGCAAAATAACACTGGACTTCAACTGCATGAAACAAACTATGAGACTTCAACAGAGGTATTTATTACTAATGTAATACAGCAACTGACAAGTACAACCTGAAAACCTGACTATTTAGTGTAAGTTAGTTCAAACTTTACTTTAGCTAGGCAGTTTTCAAAGTTACGCAGAACATACAAGACAAAGGAAATTTACTTACAACATATACAGATCTATTTTTAATTGCAGTTTTATATTGGTCATTTAATTCAGGAAGGGGTTTGTTTGGAGATCTTCTGATTTTAGTTTTCTCTTCATTTATTTCCATTAGACCAGTCTTGGATTTTTTTAACGCTTCTACTATAACATCAAAATCTTTTGAAAGGCGACTTAACCTATTGAGGAAGCAGACACAGGTTATGTCTATGACATAAGCAAAGCTGCAGACAAATGTTAAGACAGCTGGAAGAGCTGTACATGCAGGCCAGAGATGTTCGGCACAAAACAGCAATAAAAAGCTGGATGTTACCCTTCCATCCAGCTTCACTGACTTTTACCTGTTGAATTTTATCATAATTTCTAAAGGCACCCAGCCATCATCCAGTTTGATCTGTTCCTTCAGGAACTTGTCTCTTGGTAGATTGTGATCACCAAAATAGTACTGCAGAAGAGAAGAGAGAGAGAATTGTCTTTCAGTGTTCAGTTTTTAAAATTCTGTTTTATTTGACCATTTGCTGCAGTAGATTGAGACATATGAAAATTTGTGATGCTGATAACAATTAGAAATTCCGAAGTTACTGCTTCTTGTCTGACACATTTCCAAAAGTTAGTTGCAACAAAGAAGCTGCTAAGAATGCTTCATATAGTGGGACTATAATAAGGCAAAGCTAAATTGCAGCTTTGTTTAGAAGAGGTACAACACTTTTTTGCTAACGTAATTATTCATCAACCTAATTAAGCTCCAGAGTCACAAGAGAATGGAAGATTTAAAGCTAAGTCCCTACCAATTAATTTCTCCAAAACTACATCCAGACCCCAAACAGTAAGACAAACATACCTCAATTTGTTGACAGATTTTGCTTTCCAAGATAGACATATTTTCACCATCTCCATTTTCAGCCATTTTCACCAACTATTAAAGAGAATTTAGTATTCAGTATTTAGTACATTTAACCTAACTTCTTCAGGCTTCCATTCATGAAGTATCACATTTTACTACAGCTTTGGCCAAGCAAAATAACAGACAAATTCCATAGCCACCTATTTATGTTTGTGAGCCAATTGTGTGTGTTTGCCTCTTGGAGGAGCAAGACAGCAATAGAGGCCTGGGAAACATTCCCCTAAAGACTCCCTTGTCCCAAGAAATTGTATGCTCCCTCAGAGCACCTGCATGACAATCATTTTATCTCCTCATTTAGTAGTCTAACCCACCAATCATTGTTTGTTCAGCTTGCTGCAACCCTAAAATATTCCACTTTCCTCTGATGCCAAGGCTGTTCCATCCCTTCCCTTGCTGGTCATTTTTGCTATCTGGACACTTACAGCCTTAAAAAGGCTCTAGCCTGTCCATTATGGATTTATCCCTCTACCAAAACATTGCAACACCCTTAAAAATATGATTTTAGCAAGCGCTAGTTGATATCTGTGATCAAAGTGGATAAAGCGCTTCATAAAAAAATCAGACATTGATATGCAGATCAGCAGCTGCAGTTACTTTAGAGAGGCCTCACACTAATCACCTTAACTAGGGAAGACTTAATTAGTTTACCCCCACATGCAGGTGCTAGCACCATCTTAGCACTCCCCTGTGACCCTGTCCCCAAAAACATGACTACCTCAGAACCCAGCATTCAATTTACCTTATACTTAATTTGGGGGTAAATCAGCAGCAGTCTAAGGAAGAGTCTCAGCTTTTTTCC